CGAGAACAGCACCTTCTTTATAGTGCTGCATACCATCATCATGACAGTTCATATGGTTCATCTAAGACCACTAAACTGGTTCACACTGACTGCTAGCTGTCAGAGTGGTGGCCACATTTTTCTCCATTCTGATGGTACCTCTTATAGATGTTTCTCTGTTGCAGCTTTGGGAAGTGCTCCATCAAAATAATAATAATAATAAAAAATCTAAGAAAATGTCATTTAATATCCTGAAGTTCTGCCATCTCCGCTGGTAATCCCATGTCTTCAGAACTAACCTGTCCCATAGGTCAGTATAAACTGGCCAAGCCTTAAAGTGATACTCCAGTAAATCTGCTCTAGAAAAATATACTAGAGAGAACCCTGATTATTTTCCTCATCCACTCAATGCTTAATGCCTTGGTTGTAAATTCAGTGCACAAGTTGATGTATTTTATCAGCAGCCTATTTATATTTATGACTGAGAGGATCCCAGCACTTAATGTATGTTTCCTCCATACAGAAAATACTTTAATAATGGCACTGGCACACTGAAGCAGAAAGAATAAAACTAAAGGAATAATAAAAATTAGTCTGTTTGACCACAAGTCCCAGAAATCCATTGTCTTCTATAGGCTTCCAGATGATGAAGTAAAAAAATTCTAGAAAACATACAGCACAGCAGTTGTGGGCTGTATTCCCAAATATGCTGGGCATTTATTCCCAACCGCTGCTGTTTTGTGTATTCCCAAAGTTATGAGGCCACCGAATCTTCTTCATGAAATAAAAAATGAGGTGCATGTGTGTGTATGCACACACATGCCCCTCAGTTTTTGCATGTGCATGTGCACACACACACTACTTTAACAACAGTTACTAGAAACACTTGGCATGGATACAAAAAAACCCTGCAGTGTGCTGAAAGTGTACACATGCCCTAATTAGAATGGGTATCTTTTGATCTGCAAGGGCTACCCCCATTGTTTTTTTTTTTAGAAGCAAACAACTGTTTTTTATTTATTTTTTAATTAATATTGTAACTTCTTTGGAAATCCCTATCCAGTGACCCCCTTCCATTTCTCAAGCGCTGTATAATTTTTGTGACAATTTATTTTTGCCTTTGGTAAGTGAGCCTTCTCAGCCAATTGGTTACAGTTCCCATTATTGTTAAATCACTTAATTTCCCAAGACTGCTCAAGGTGAAATATACAAGAATTCAGTAGCACTTATTTGGTATTTCATCTTCAAATATACACATAATTTTTGCACTTGAAATACCAGACAATATCTTCCTTAGTTATTTTTAATAAGTCTTTACCACTTTCTTTGTTTTACCATTCAATTTTAAGCTCTGAGACAGATTCTCAAATAACCAGAGTGTAATCAATGGAGTCATATAGATTTATACTAGGATCTAGCTCTCATACTTTACTTTCAGTTTTACCAGTCTTTTCTTTAACTAATCTCCCAGCTGCCTTAACTACATCTACTTCCTACTGTACCCCTTCAATCTTTTTCAATTACCTTCTTCTTAACATATAACCCCTCAGTAATTTTCCTTCCAAATCCTTCTAAATCCTATTTTTTTCCTTTTTTTTAAATTAACTAATTGTTAGAAGCATTTGTAGCTCTTTGAAATTATACGTCTGAATGTATTGTGGTATGTTGACTCTGAGGGCTAAAGTTTCTAAGCAGCTTTCAGAATAATGAGATTTGTGTGCATGGCTCCCATGTACTGCTTTGAAGATTTACTCTTTATAGTTAAACGATTTTAAAGAATCAATTTCTTTGTGCTGTTCTCTTGTAAACACTGTGCCCAGAGCACATAGCCTTTACAGTGAAGTTTTTCCTCAAGATATTTGTTCCACCAGAAATTTTTGGTCTTTGTAAAAGCACAGAACATTATGGCTTTTTAACCTAAGAGGTATATCCTTTCTTCATCCAATGCATTGTATAATTTTGTTGCTCAATTTGCCTATAGTGTGCTTTCAGCCTTGCTATCTATATATTTCCAATAGGACTCTGATTCTGCTGTCTTTGTATACCCAAAGCCTCCACTGGCTTTGATAGAACACAAAAGGTATATGTGATTGGCACTTAGATGTATAAATTATATTTCTTTGTTATAGTGGAGATAATACTTTACACTTGTATTGTAGTTTTTATTTGTTCATCTAAGTGTGTTCTACAAATGCTAGTAAGTACCCCTTCTCCTCTAAAAAGTGGATATTAAGGGGACACAGATTGGTTAAATAACTTGTCCAGAAAACACAGCAAGTCAGTAGAGGTATAACTTGAAATGTTGGGCACCCAGAGCAGTACAGAAAGGGTGAGGGTGTGGAGAAATTGTGAACGCTGACCTCCCCACTTAAAGGCTGCTGCAGTTGTGGTGGCATTGTTGCCACCTCAGCACAAGCTCCTCAAACAAGGGCTGCAGCACCAGCTGCATAGGCTTTCTGGGGGCTATGTTACTGCAAGATTGAGACACAGCTGGAAATAGAACATATTTCCCAGGCCCCTGCTCTAGTCACTAGATTTGCTCTCTCACCCTTGGATAAGCACTAGTGAGGGATGGAAAAATCTCAGTCAAGGATAATTTAGGAACAGCTACAAAGAGCAGTAGCTGGAAGCCCAGGAGGCCCCCACATACACATTGCTTGGCAATCATGAGAAGAACTCTGTAGCCCAAAGCCAGTGGAAATGGGAGAGGACCATTCTTAGCAGCAGGAGAATAAAGGAGAGCTCTACAACTGGCTAGGTTATGAAGGAAAATTAAAGGAGCTGGGATAAGATGACAGAAAGGGAAGAGTTGTCTCCAGTTAGGATGTCTGTGTGGAGCTCCATCTTTTTTGTAATTTCCCTTCTGGTAGTTGAAGGCTACCACCTCTACTTTTATATGAGTCTAGAACAATGCAGACACACAAGAATAAGACCACTAGAATCTAGGTAAAAATGCAAGAGCAATAGAGTGGTATAAGAAAAAAAGGGAAGGGGGGAAAGGGCTAACATCAAGCAACCTTTATATGAAGCTTTTAGATAATGTTAGTAGAGAAAAACAGAAGTCTACAAGACCTTCATATACACATATTGTTACCTTTATACTCAAGTGGTTAGCAAAATTTAAGTCTTGCATTCATAGATTCATTTCAGTTGAGAAATCAACGATGAAGTCAGTTATCTCTGCTATAATTGTTTATCCACAAGAATGTACAGCCTGCTTTCTTGAACACAGAAGGAATCAAATGACCAAAGGCAGTTTACTTCCTCGGAGCTCTAAAGCCCTTTTCAGCTATCACTTGTGCCTAAAAAAAGATTTATCTCCTGGGTACATGCTGTCTCAGGCTTTATTGTTAGTCTGTGTGCCATCCTCCTCTTTGTATACACCCTTTCCAAAACAGTATTCATTAAATACTCCTCCACCTCTAGAACATTCACATTTCTGAATAGGCTTGCATTTGCTTTTGTTTCAGTTGGAAACTTGCCCGCCTGTCTTAAGCAAACGGTGGTGGTTAAAACTTTCAGTCCCACCCCTACTAATATGTGAATGAATATTCCTGGTACGGGTAAGAGATAGCGCCCTAGTACCCAAGAATTAATTGGATGGCAAAAATATTTAGAAAACAGATTTCATATAAGAGACTAATTTTGCAGTTTGGTTTGGTTATCAGAAACTATGCCTCAGAATTCTTCCAGTGCCTTCAGCCATTACGACCACAATCCTTTCATAGTATTTCCAAATATTTGATATTAAATACAGTAAAATTCACTTGAGTCTGCAGTGTGTTTGATCCAACAACTTGGAGACTTTGTGAACTGTTTCTTCTCAGGGTTTCTTAAGTAATAATTCATTATTTAGCGGTATATAAGTAAAGCTGTTTGTTTAACCTTCAAGACTAACTAGTTGACTTTGCCAAACAAGTTGTGTTGTTGCTATTGATTCTGCCACTTGCATGCCCTGTGCTAGCTAAGACACTTTGCTGCTGCTGTGTGTTCTGCTTCAGACAATACTTGAACCTTGAAAAGAAAGCTCACAACATCCTGAGGCACATTAGAAAGGAGCCTCCTCCCATGTGTCATGATTTACTTTGGCTTCCAAAGATTTTTTAAAGTAGTATAACCTTGGAAGATGTTGTATTTTATTTTATTTAAATTTATTTTGTGGTTTTTTTTTTAATTGAGGGAGAGGAAATAGCAGGAAGAGCTAAAGGCATATGTCTATGGAATTTACATTTAGCCATGAAGAGGATGGGTTTTGGGTTGTTGTTTTTTTTTACTACACAGACTTTTCCTCCGTTTATCTATTTCACATTTAAGACTCCACACTTCTGCTCCTTTGGCAGTTCTTGTGTAAAATAGTCAGTCCTGTTAATCTCACTTGCCGATTGACTTTAAAGGACTTGCTTAGAATTTCCCCTTTTCAAATTCTTCCATTTTATGAGGAGGCAGAAGAAAGGGAGTAGAAAGAGTGTGTGAAATACTGAGAAAAAGATTTCTTCAACTTCTTCCTAACCCCCCACCCTCCCCAACTATAAGACAGTCTTATCCTCTCTTGCTATAAAGGTGCACATCTACCCTGCCTTCTGACTCATTTCAGACCAAGTGCCTTGTTACACTACTATTTTGGATGGCTCCTGAAGCTCTTAATACTTGGATTGTCTGCACATTAACACCTCAAACTGGTTTTAAGCACTCACATGGCTTAAAGTTGCACCACTCCAAGGGAGGATCATCTCTGATCCGTGCTACTCAGCTTCTGTTATACTAAAGGTATAGCTACTCTAGGCTATACCTAAATACTCCCTCTCCCCTGCTGGCCCAGATCAGGCCCATTCCCCCTCTCCCCCCAGCACCCCAGATCCCTGCTCATTGCCCTCCCCACCTACTTGTATCTGACTGAGGGAGCAGGCAGAGAAGGGCTTACCGGTGTGTCCACCCCTGCCTCTGCTGCTCTCTGGGAGGGTTCATTCCTGAGAAGAGCAGAAGTCTGGCAGCAAGAGATGGGCCAGCAAGTTGGTTAACCATTCCCTGCCTTCTACCCTGGGACAAACAGCTGGGCAGCTACAAGGCAGGGGTGGGGGGAAAGACAGGGGAGAACCCTGAGGCCTGGGGGTGGAACTGGGGGAAACCCTGGGAGGCAAGAGGCAGGGGGATGCTTGAAATGGGAAGTGGAGTGGTTCTAACCTTTCAGGCATCCAGGTTCCTGCTGGCCTGAAGTGTACCTGTTTCAAACTGGAGCTAGTACTAACACTGATCAACATTTGTGCAGCTTTAGGAGATGCCCATGGGTGCCAACACAGTGCACCCACCTTTAGGAGTCTCTTCCTGCTAGCACTTTTGTTCTTTCCCCTGGTATTCTCATCTGCCATGTCTCAATGTAAGAAATAGGCAGTGGAGGCTGGCCAAAGGGTGAAGAGAGCTTTGGGAAAGGGCACCCTTGTCTGGACCATGACTCTCTTGGCCATGTCCCACTTTAAGTCTGGCTGTGCCTTCAATCTTGAAGCCCACTGTCCAGGGCTACAAGCTTGTGGCTCAGCTTTGGCCACAACTTTATGACCTCAGGCTACAGGCTCCATAGGCAGCTGGGGCCGTGACTCCTGCTTTCCCACATTCCACTATGGCCTTTCAGTCCCTGGCAGGCTTTGCCCCTCTCTGGCTCCGAATGTACCCTGAGTCTTTATCTTCTGTCTTCTCGTGAGAGTCTGAAATTCAGGGCATCTCTAAGCACTCCTTTCAGTGGCCTCCCCATCCCCTACATCCAAAATTTTGTCCACCGGGGGAACAAAATCCACAATACAGGTGCCGTTCCAGGCCCAGAGACGTTCCATCCTGCAGTGGCATGCTTCAAGCAAAAGAAAAACAGAGAAGGCTCAAGGTACCTGCCTTACACCCAGCACGGGGGCTCAGTTTCCTTCACCCTGGCTGCAACTCTGTATTCTCCTTTCATGGTCTGGGGTTCAGTCTGTGAGTCCCTCTGCCAGGGGCTCCATCCCCTGTAGCTTCTATGGCCAGACTCCTTTTATGGCCTGAGGATTGAGCTTATAAAGGGTGTTCTGGGTCACCTGACATTCCTCCTCTGGCCCATGGGCTATCGGGCACTTTCTGCACCTGTGGCCATATTGCGTCAGCTTTCTCTGTCCATGAGTTTGACTCTGGCAATGCTAAGAAAGCATAAGTAAAAGAAAGAGGGAGACGAGGTGGTTGTGGTTGGGGGGACATACACAAAGGAGAGAAAAGGAAGGAATGAACTGGCAGAGGAAGGGAGGACCAGGCACCCTTACACCCCTTTCCCCTCTACTAACAGGTTTAGGGGCCCCATTACACTGGCTGACTGTAAGGTGTAAGACCCTAACACAGCTAACTACTTCCTGCTTATCCCATCTTTAACACCAAGGTGTCTCATCAGTAAACACACAAACTAGAATGATTACTACACAGTGATAACTAAATATTGCTTGCATTGTCTCCAGGCTCCATTATAGCTATACAGACTTTATAGAAAATACTTTAAAAATTCCTTGTTAGACAAACAGATAATCAAAGGCAATAATTATCTACTCTTCCTCATGACTACACAGCCACCAGCAATACAAAAACTGTTACGGTCAGTGCTAATGTATTTACATACACAAAGCTCCTTGGCTACTGATTGTAAAATTATAGCACTTGTAAAGAGTATAGAGAGTGAGTATTATACTTAATAAGGAGAAATATATGTGGAACTAGTTATAAAATCAATGCACTATGCTGCACATTTTATGTACACCCAAAAGTTGTACCAATACATTGTTTTGTCTATATTTAAGATGTCTGTATCTATTGATTACAGACTTAATTACCTTCTGAAAAAAAATATGATGCAGGAAATAGAAGGAGAGCAATGATAAAATCATTGCACCAATATAGTGGCTTTTCTGCTGACTTCTCAAAGCTATTGGGGAATGCTATTGATTCAAAAATAAACACACCTAACAGAGAAGATATGGAAAGGAACAACAACAAAAAAGGAGGGTGAAGAGTATAGCAGATTTAAGGTTACCTTGACTGTATTTCCAGACTTGCAAATATTTAAGTTTCCTTTAAGTTTAATCATAACTTTTGAGTTGCCTGTTTTCCAATGTTTGGATTTTTGATAGTGACAGTGACATTGTACTTGTTGTTTTTGGTTTTGTCCTGGAGTTTCCAGTTGGTACTATCAACCTTAAATTCACTTTAATATTTTTGTCTCGAAATGTAAAAATCTTTAGTTTTCTTTGATTCCCTTCATTAAAGGACCTGCCCTGCTCAGATCTGTTCCTCAGTATTCATCAGGAGTAAAGGAATCTGCTACTGCACTTCTGTATTCTTACAGCACAAATCCATATCAGAAATCTTTCTTTTAATCCTGTTCAAATGCTGCGAAGCAAATTCTTTCTTGCTGCACCTGACAGCTCAGTAAATGGTTAACTGTTACTTGGCATGGTCCTTTTAAAAGATATGAGCTAGCAGAGACCTAAAAACACATTTTTGTTCCTGTGGCTATTTCAGTATGTTATAGTTCAGTAAGCAGGGGTGTTTTTCCACTCTGGACATACAGCTTCTTTCTTATATTAGCTAACTCATCTAACTCAATGTACCTCTGGATAAAAGACTAAGCTTTCCCTCTTATGAAAGGAACTTGCCAGATGCTCAAAAGTAACATTCATATTTAGAGAAATCTAATTTACATATAGATGCTTTAAATATATAGAAGGGCACAAAAGTTATTTTTTGCAATCCATAACACTCTGTATTGCAGGACTTGTCAGCACAGACTTCACATATTAAAGGCTTTCTTACTAGAGGAAGGAGGCTCCTTCTTGCAGCTGGGAAACAAACTCAGACTAGGAAAAAAAATGTTATTTAAAATAGATTGTAACATTAGCTTGGTCTTATTCCTGTCCTGTAAAACATGCAGCCTCAGCTTTTGTCTCTACCATTCTGAAAAAAGGTGTAATGGATCCCAAACAGGGATTCTGCCAAACTGCCTTTATCAGGATGCCATTTCCTTGGCAGTAGTCCTGTCTCTTTAAGCTAAAGTGTAAGTGTGGCACGAGACATATATTGTTTCCGATAGGGAAACAACCTGCACTAGTTTGTACCATTATGTTGCCTGCAGTAATATGGAACTGTAGTTGATGACCCAGGAAGTCCCTTCCAGTTCTATGTCCTATGTTCCTTCCTGGAAAACTTGGCAGAGTAATCTGCACGTCCTTAATGGAAGCAAATCTTGCAGTCCAGGGAGCCAGTAAACAAACACAAGAGGCTAGGACAATAAAAAGTTAAACTGTGGGAGTAAACCTTTGTAGCTTCATTTGAACAAATAAAGAAAAGCCAAAACCAGGAGTGGCTAACGTCTAGTTAGATAACTAGCGCACATAAACTAATATGAAGTGCACGATCAAACTTCCACGCCCAGTGCCCTCTGAATTGCCTCCCCACCCACCTGCTTTTCATAGGCTAATTCCTAACATGTTGTGAGAGACAGTAAACTCTAGTGGGAGGATAGGAAGCTGGTATCCTTCTGTACTTCTGAGGCTCTGTGTCAGGGATGTTGCTAAGAGCCTTCTCTAAATTCTTCACCCCAGTTTTGGGCCTTTAGGTGGGGACAGGAACCCATGGCCTAGTAATGGCAGGACCAAGTCATCTCATTTCATGATCTGGTGCTCACCAATCTGACATTTTACCCAATGTTCCCACAAGCAGTTTGCAGAGTTTTAGGCCTTTTCTGCCAGTAACCACAACTGGTGTTTGCAGAAGATACGTATAAAGAACTGTATTTTCCACCCTGTTGTCAACTCTTGCGACTTTTGACCTTTTGCTTAAAGACCCAGTGCTTGGAGTGGTTATATGGTTAAATATATGTATGTTAAATATATTTATGTATAATATATTAGGTATACATCCACATATTTATGTAACACATGTTTCTACTCTTTGCAAAGGAGAAAAAAAAATTGAAAAAATAACTCTAAAGATTCAAAACCCAAAATAATTGAAAAAACCGATCATTTTAAAATCATTTCATGGTTTTTGTTAATGGTTTTCTATTCAGCCTCAGAGTTGTACTTCATTGTTTTACTCCTTCTCCCCCTGAGGACAAAGCTGATGCTTTCACAGGGTCTCTGGTGACCTTTTCCCAATTCTACTGGCTGCTTTCCAAGGAGGTGAGCGCTTGTTGCTATAGCAATTGAAGCTAAAGCTAGCACAGCAATCACAAGGTTTTGGAATAATTTTACTCCCCTCCCCTGCAACACTCCCCTCTTGTCCAGGACTCACTGTTGCACAGAAAGTGAGCCCCTGATTTGCAGGACCCAGAGAAATTCCACCTGGACTAAATGACACAGCGCTCCTGTTATGAGCTTTCTTTATTGAGGCTAAATAGAAATGTTAGATGTACCAGGTTTTCCCATCCTTAATTTCCAGGGTCAGTAACTCCAAATAATATATATTCCCTGGCGACAACAGTACCCATGGCTGTTTTGCCAGATGAATTCCTAGGGCTCTTGTATTCCTCATCTATTGTCTAGAAGCCCAGGTTTCTATCTCCTATTTACAGTTATTTCAGAATAACATTTTTAATCCTAAAGAGCTGGTATTTTTAGGCACTGTGGCACACCCACTGAGTACACATCCCCCTCATATTGTTTACTGCTGGTGATGGACTCTAAAATCTCTCTTTAGGTGATGATAAAGTGGACTGTAATTGATTGGTATTTGTACTTGTGGTTTCCACAAACTCTCATTGATCCATTGTGTTTGAGTGAAATGTCAGGTGTGCGATGGATGGTTTTTCAATGTTTCAAGCTTAGGGGTTTTTAGGGTTTTTTTTAAACACTTTGACAGCTTGGTGACCTTTCTAGATGCATTTTTATATATTAGAAAAAATTACAGCCACCCTGAATTTGCCAATCAAATGACATATTTTGAAGAGAAATCGATATATTCTGTGTGATGTTTATCTGTATTTGAATGGCCCTTAATGTAGGAAATAACACAAGAAATTTCTCTCCATGAGCAATGACATCTTACAGTTGATTAGCTTTGTGTTAAGCTTACAATATCAGGGAGGGGGCAGGGAGAGACTCTTCATGCTATGCTACAAGACCCCGCAGGCCATGTGTGGCTTTTTTGCTGTACTTTGAACAACCTCTCTCTCCCTCTGCACATATCTTTTGTTTTCAGTAGCTGTTATTGCTGATGAGCTATTGTATAAAGGTAAATTTTGCATCAGCCAGCAAAAATATCTGGGCTAAGGTTCTTTCTGATCATCTCTGCCTGGTGTTTTATAATGAAGAATCTGGCAGCAAGTTTATCTTGCCTGTGGTTCCCAAAAGTCACGTATGACAGTGGATGTTTCTGTTATAACTCCAGTGATATTTTCTAAAGCAGTTGACTCTCTGCCTAATTATACACCTTTGGAAAATGTACCTATTTAATTATAAAAATACTTTGCATTACAAAGCTTCCATGAATAGGAAGCCCCTATATTTTGTGCAGGTTGGCTGGGTATAACTGCCACTTTATTCACAACACCTGTAAAGATTTCTGTAGATACAATATATAGACAACAACTAATGTAATGACTGAACAATAAGGATTTAAATACCTGAGCTGGATATTTTGTTCACATTCAGCTGGAATAAGATACCATTTATGCTCACATATACCATGTGAATATAATATGCACATTGTTTTGAAAGGCAGACTGAAGGAAACAATATGATATTTCCAGAGTTATGGATGCATATAGCAGGGACAGCTGACTCCCCCTCTCTTTCTAAAGGTGAAATATGAGGAGAGAGACCAGGAGCAGCAAGCAGACAGCAAAGCAGCCCTAAGAAAGGTTAGTCTGATTAGTGGAACATTAAAGACCATTAAAGTATCAGACCATTACAAAGGAGAGATGATCATTAACACCTTGAGGGTGAAGAACAATGAGCCATTAAGTCAATTGACTCCCTCAGTTCCTGAATAGTAATACAACAACTGCAGCACTGTGGAGTAGGAATCAAAGCAGAGGCTTCTATTCTGTTCAGAAAATCAGCTTCCCTGCTTAATATATGCACCTGGACTTGGGATCGGGGGTGAGGATTTGCGGGGGAGGTACATGTTGTATGTGAGAAAATACAGTACAGTGTTATTTAATCACTAAGATAAACCCCCTTGTGACAGTGATATACTGCTGTAGGTGTTCACTTCTCTTTGGTTAAGAGAAAGTGGAGACTATGAGAGATTTCTGCATTATTTTTATTAACACTATGAGCAACTCAGTTTACCTACTAGGTTACATACTATGTGCTGCTGCCCAGAGCTATCAGAGACAAAGATCTGAATTAACTTAGACACCTGCTATACATGAGATAAGGAGTGTAAAGGACTACCTGTGGCTTAGCCAGGGGACAACCCTCCGCCTGGGAAAAGGAAGGAACAGGAAGCCTGGTACAAAGGGGAACAAAGGAAGGTGCGGGGGCAGGGGGGAATCTTCTGATGAACCAGAAGAAAAAAAAGCTCTGGAAGAGATGCTGACAAGTAGTTGGTGGAAGCAGCTACAACCTTTCCAGCTCTCCCTCCCAACCAAAGATCTAAGTCTGCCAGAGCTATGCAAGGCCTGTTCAGCTAAGCAAGGAGAAGTTATCAGGCTATGTCCAGTTCATGTGTATAGGCCTTCTTTGTTATTTTAAATTATAGTGCTGACTTCTGTGCTCCTTTTGACAATTGACTTATTCTTTCTTTTTTTAAAAGACCGTTCTGTACCCTGTTAACATTTTATTTGGCTATAAAAGTCCAAAGAAAGACTCCTGCATGCAACTACTCCAGATTGGCACTGGTGGAGGAGCTGCTGTGTGAAACAGGGCTGCTGAAGCCTTGTGACCCAGTCTCAGAGGGTCATGGGACTCGCCTCTGCGTGAAATGCACTCAGGAGAGACAAAAAAGGGTACAGGCATCAAATGCTCTGTTATCTGTGACACTTGCTTACTGGAATTTCTCAAACCCAACTGATCTTAGTGTAGGTCATCAAATACCACTTGCATATACAAAGCCCTTTAATTAGCTCTCCTGAAAGCAATGACAAAATTGATAATATGAAAAGAACTGATATTGTTATCAGAAGATTTTAAATGTAGTTTTTTTTTTAAAAGTCAGGTTTTTTCATTTTGCATAACATTCCAAGATCCTTCAGGGTGGAAGTTAATTTTCTTTAAGATTTTGCATGCATTTCTGTTCCTTTTACTTTTGATTATATTAAAAAAAACTGGATCAAATTTCTTTCCCACACAGTTTGATCTTACTTTTTTTACAGCCCATGTTTAAGTCTTTTTTCACTGATTTGAAATCCATATTCTGACATTAACTAACTGCTAACATAGTGACATGGAACCAGTTCTGGATTAAATAAAACCAGTGGCAAGATAAAATAATTATTGACTTTGGAAGACCAAGATAAAGCAAGCTGTAAAACATATAGAAAAACAAATGAAAAAATGGATACAGGATGAACTTAAGTTCATTTTCCCACCTCTGACCAGCGGTCTGCAAAGTTCAGAGAGAATACTACTTCCAAGCTAAAAAAGCTTCTTAAACCAGTGCTCCTCTGTCCTCTGGAACCTAGATTCAAAAGACAAATATTGTTGGTGTGAAGAAATCTTCCACTCTCTTTCTCTGTCCCTGGGCCTGAGACCTCCCATACCCTCCTTGCCCCCCCCCGTGATGCAGAGACTCTTTGTCTCATGTTCGCATCCATGTACCTGCTGGGTTTGTTTGGTGATGCTGGGCCCTCTACCTGGGGATGCTGACATTTTTAAAAAAGATTGGTCAGCCTCAACCAACGCCTGTTGCTGGTTGGAACTTAGTGTTGAGGTTGTAAGTGCTGTAAAAAGGTGTCACTCCATTTTGAAGGGGGAGAGACATGTTTGGGATGCTGAAACAAGTGTAACCGAGGGTGTGCCCTCCCTGCCAAATGGAGAAGTGGTGATAGGCTAGGGTGCTGAGGGAGGGACGTCACTGCCTTACATGTAGATCCCTCCATTTCCCTATAGAGACAACCCCACGAGTGTACACTTAACTATATACAGTTTTATTATTACAAATATAATTAAAACATTTACATGCCAGAGATAATTGAATACCTGATATTACAAAATAACTTTCATAATCTCCAAGTCAATAAATGAGTTACCAGATCCAATGAATCCAATAATAGTCACCCCAGTGGGTAGAACCCAGTATTGAAAAATATGTACACAACTGACCCAAACATTTCTTCAAGCTCATCAACATCATGGTTAACAACACTAAAATAATAAAAAACAATGTTATTTATAGATTATAAAGTGCAACATAAACTCAGAACCTCAACCACGTAGAAGTCTAATTATGAATTTGTTCCCAGAGCCAGGAGAACAGGGGTCCCCTCACCCACTCCCAACAGGGTCTCGGGACCCACCCATTGGGAGGGGTCTTCCCCCCACTCCTTTTCAGGGCCCCAGTGCTCCAATAACTCACAGCCCTTCTGATGGTCCAGCTTGTCCCAGCGTGATGCTCCCCACCAGGGCCTCTTCTCCCACACTGCTTCTGGACTCCCCTTGTGGCCTGGTGCCCCCGGCCTGGGCACCCAAGCCTTGCAATTTCCTCTGCTTTGGTCCTCACGACCCTCTGCAGATTTGCTTACGCCGCTCTATGCCCCGCTCTCAGCATCGAGGGCTAGCTTCTTCACTCAGCGGGGTTGCTGGGCTCCCAACTGCCTGCCTCACACTAAGAAAAACTGGGGATGAGGCGGCCTTCCCCGTTCTACGTGCCCTGCTCAGCATCGGGGCTCTTTCAGCTCACCAGGGCCCTGTGTGGGGCTCCGGCCTTCCGTTCTCATACTGGGTGGATAACCTGAGCAGCCTTTCACTACTGCTCACTATTCCTGGATCTTGCCCAGGTCCTGTGCACAGTGGTGGCCAGCCACTTGCCAGGATTTGCAAGCTTGAGCCACCTTGCTCCGCTCCTAGGGCCTGGACTCCGTGTGTTGGACTACACACTGTGACAAGCCCAAGGGTCTCACACCCCTCCCAGGGCTGCTCCATGCAGTGGGTCCTGCACCGTGATGAGCCTAAGGGTCCCACACCCTCCCAGGGATCTTCAGGAACTTGGGGCTTTTTCCCACTGGGGCAGCTCTTCCCCAGCTTTTCTGACTCTGATCCTTCAGACCAACCCTTCAGCCCTACTCAATCCCAAATTATGGAATCTCGAGCCCAGGACTCATCCAGAGCTCAAAAGGTAAGTCTGCTACACAAGCAAAAGGCCTCCAAAGCTCCAGCAGTCTCTGGATGAATATGTGAGTATCTTACCTGAAATTTAGCCAGTCATGTAGAATTAAGTGAACTAGATGTGTATCAAAAGGGCCAACAAGCCCATTCTGTTTTGCTCCAAACATTGTTTTTCTAATACTCTTGTATCTTGTACTCCTTCCCTATTCTTCCTCTCTTGGATTAATAAAAGGTATCTGTTATAGCATACCTATCTGTGAATGCTTGAGAGGAGGGATAGGCCTTTATGCTCCTGGTAGAGCTCAGTGGAGTATTACCTGAAAACACTTGAGGTGGGCATGGCTTTTTACTTTTCTCCTATACAGGAAGCTACTTGTGAATGCTTCAGGCTAAAAGAAGCACCCCAAAATACTATGGTGGTCTAAGCACCCTGTGGCAGTACACCTTTGGTGCTTGCCATTTTAAGGGCAGAAGCAGGCAGCCGCCAGATGCCTGATGAGGGTGGCCATTTTCAAACATAGGCCAGAGAGGCAGCAGTCTGCGTTGAGCAGCCAAAGTGGCAACATTGGGCTGAGCTGCTCCTGGAACACCTTGGAGGTAAGGGTGAGACTATGGGGATGGAGGAGGCCTCAGTGGTCCTGGACATGACCTGAAACTGTACCCTGCTGGGATAAGGAGGTCTGGTAGGACTGACTATGGCGTAGCAGCCCCACTTGAAAACCAGGACCGTGACCCTCCCCAGTGTATGGTGGGTTGGGGCACCTAAACACCAGCCCCCAGCTTTGGGTGGATTACTAAGAGGAAGGAGTGGGGCCAGGCACAGCTTCAGCCACCTGAGCCCACAGGGGTGCAAGACTCTGGAGGCCCCAGAGAGGGGGCAGTTGAGAGACCCTGAGAGAGCAGGGGTGTTGGTGGGCCCACCCAGAGTACGGTGCATCTTCACAACCTGAAGGACTGGGCATAATTTGAAGTTGAGTAGAGCTGAAGGGATGGTCTGAAGGACAGATCTGGGGGGGGTGTTGAGAAGGGCTGAAGGAAGGTCGGAAGGGCAGCACATGGGCCAACCCCCCTCCCCCCCCAACAAGATCATGGTGTTGTGTATAAGGAGTCTGGTGAGGGGCTAGGGCAAAGTTGGCCCCCAGTTTGGTGAATTGGCTGGCACTACCCAGGTGAGTGTCATGGGAGAAGCCCAAGAGTCTGCATGTTGCCAGCCAAGGCATGATTCATATAAGCCTGATGGCCAGAAGGGTCCCTCCAGGAGACAGCAGAGCAGAGTGAAGGGTGCACAGTATGGTGCAGTGAGCAAGAGACCCCGTGAGAGAGGGGTGGTATGAGTGTGTGTGTGTGTGTGTGTGTGTGTGTGTGTGCGCGCGCGCGCGCGAGACCTGGTGGAGGACTAGATTTGGTGTGGCTTGTGGCCAAGTGTATGAGAACATCTTGGATGCCCTCTGTGAGGCATGGGCCACAGTGTAGGGGAGGTACAGAGCCGTGGATCACGCTCCCTGGCATCCGGGCATAGAATGGGCAGCCTCCCATATTTACCACCAGTTTATTGTAATAGCAAAGTCATGGCAGAAGAGACTGGGCAGACTGTCCTATGTAGACAGGTGAGTGGGCTGACTTGAGACTCGACCCCAAGCATGCCCCCTGTCACTCCCCGCCCCAAGGTCAACAGGGTCTGTGTACCCCTGCTTGTAAAGAGCCCCAACAGTTATGGGGTCATTTTTATATTCAACATACAACTTTAGTCAAACTAATGATTGCCTTGGAGTCCTTGTTTAAAATCCATTGTTTTCTTTGAAGAATTGAAATACAGGTAAGTTACAGTAGAATTTCCACTGAATAATTTTAATAGCTTTGTTTGCAGAAGGGATGCAGTTGCCAATGCTGTCTGATGTAGCTTGAATTTTCAGACCAGATCAGGTTATTATCAAGAATCACCCACCTAATGCTCACTGTTTGCCAGTTCCCTAATTTCTATTTTGTCAATCAAATTTGATGTCCTTAAACCCAAACAAAAACAGCTGCTATCTAGATTTCCTCCTGTTAGCTAAATACACTACTGCATGGCCCTTTTGTAGAGTACAGTACAATGCTTCTTAACCTGCCAAATAGAGGAGGAAGAATGTAAATCACTGTGCAAGTTGAACTGTGGCCCCTGCTGTCATATGACAGCTGGCTTTGCTTTATTGTCCATGGCACAAATAGTACCATGCATGGAGATCCAAAACCAAACACAGAAACATCCAAGTCAAATATTAGTCATGAGATACCTGTGGCTCTGTACAAGCAGACTCTTAATTCAGTTACATATTACTTCATTACATGAGACAAGAAACCCAACCATTTCACACTTCTTTGCTAATTTCGTTAATGACAACAGCAGGCTTATATTTTCTAAGTATTATATACCCCTGTGTATGGCAGCTGTTTGGTTTTAGCCAACCAACTTTACTAACTGCCAGTGTTAGGAACCAAAAAGATTCCTCTTTCCCTTCCATAAAAGGAGAGGCTTCCTATTTCCCTTCCTGTATTGAAAGAAGGCCTTGCTGTTGTGGCTGCTGCCCTATGAACTGATATACAATTAAGAAAAAATGAAAAGATTCAGTTTTTTGTTCTGAATCTGCTCTGCAAATGAAGTGTGTATGCTGCAGGGTTCAGGCACTCTTTGTTAAGGGGTAGTTTTATCAAAATCTCAAGTTAAAATCAGCTCCCTGAACTTACCTGCTTCTGCAGGTTATAAATATTTCTAAGACAGCAGTCAGACTGTCCACCAGCTGTTTCTTAACATTACTCTTCCCACCCTCCCTCCTAGCTTCCCAGGCACCTTTTTCCCCCCTCAAATGTGTGTTTGAATATGTAATCATTAGCTCTTTTGAACTTCAGTCTTGGAAAATTAAGGTAGATGGCTGAGGTGTGGGTTCCTTATGTTCCTCAGCAGCAGTACCATCTTATCAGGTATCAGGATAGCCCTTTCCTGCTCACGTAATTCATGGAATACATTCTCTTAGGCCAGGTAGAAACATTACATTTTTACCGGTACAGTATAAGCAATTGGAAACCAGTCTATACCCATAACAGAACAGACTTTTGCCCCACACAGACTGGTTTAAAAATGATAGAACCTGGTCTAAGATTTGCACCTCTCCCTCCCACCAGAATGGCAAATATGTGTTCTGTTCCCTATCAATCTAAACTATGCCATTTACAGAAAACCACAAAGTTAGATGGATTCCGCCTCAGGCTTTTTGAATGTCTGCACCTTATCACACCTTACTCCCTCATGTAGATTAAAAAACCTGATATACAGGCTTTTGTAAGAGAGGGTAAAATGCATTCTCTGGCTAATAGGCATTTATTTGTTTATTTAACCATCCCATTACTTTTTCTGTTCACTGCAGACTTTGTTACTTGGCAGTGCTAAGGCAATGAAAATTCTGAATGATGGGAGAGATTAGCTTAACTGTAAACTGATAAAATGGGAGTTTAAACTATTAACCCATGACTTGACAGAATGGACAAGAACAAGGAATCCTGTTTTAATTGAAAACGCCTTTATTCTATGCTCTGTGAAAGACCAGTATATTTGCAGTACGTTGAAAATACTCGGTAATATTTAAGGCCTTCTTATTTATTATATATAGAATACCAAGTCTGGTGCTTGTTCCAGCTCATTTGGGACCCCAGTCACATGCAGCACAGATCCTGGAATGGGCATCACATGCAGCACAGTCTGGCTGGGGGCATGTAGAGCGGATCCTAGACCAGTCACAATGGGCACCACCTGCAATGCACAGCCTGCTCTGGCCAGGCTCTTCCAGCCACAGATGCCATGTAGGTCCAGGATTAGCTGGGGCAGGTACTGTGTGCAGTGCAATGCCAGACCTGCCAGGGTGGGTGCTTTGCACAGCATGTGTACCAGAGCTGCTCCAGCCATGGAAGCCACATGCAGTATAGGTCCAGGACTGGCTGGAGCAGGCACTGTGTGCAGCTCAATGCCAGAGCTGCCACAGAACTCCTTGTGCAGCACCATGTGTCCGCTCTAGGATCCACACCAATGCATCACAGGCTGAGTTGCCAGTGTGGGACCCATGTGTGGCACAGGTCCCTGGCCCTGCCCATGAAGCTGGTCCAGCACGCGCTGTGCCCCATATGAGTCTGCTCAGACCCGAGGGTAACACCAGGGGCTGGATGGCAGGGCTCCTTAGGCCAGATCTGGCCCAGAGGCCAGGTGACCCCCATAGTATACTTTAAGTGCAGGATCCTAAGGAAACTATGCACTTACATGGAGTGCAAATTTAATGTTCTGTAAGTACCCAGTACTGTGGTATTATAACCTTGATACTGACTAGCTCCCATCATTGGTACAATTAACAGGAGTATAATTCAGTTACAGAGTAGACAGTGGGGCTACATGTAAACAATTTCTCAATATGCAGATAATCAGAGATTAGCAAACAATAGGCAACAGGAATGGGAATGGCATTATGTTATACAGTTTAGCAGGCTAGACAAGGTTATTTGGCTAAATCTGATATCTTTTATTAGACCAACTCAAATAGGTGGAGAAATTCTTCTTTGCAAGCTTTTGGGTACAAATGCCCTTTGTCAGGCTGAGGAAGCATTTCCAGTATGTCCTTAGACCAACATGGCTACAACCTATACCCATTTAGCAAGCTAGACACTTGAGTGCTTTGCATCCCAGTGGAGTACCTTTCTCAAGTATCAGGCATCATTATGTGAGAGGCAAGGATTTTTTGGGGTGATATCTTTTATTGGACCAACTGCATAGTTGGGATAAAGTTAGACAAGCTTTCAAATGCAAGGCATTCTTCCTTGGGTCTCTTCTTCTCTGAGACCTTCTCCTCTAAGACTGCAGAAAGAATGCTTTGCATTCAAAAACTTGTCTAACTTTATCCCACCCATGCAGCTAGCCCAATAGAATCACAGAAGCATAGAAAAGCAGGGGAGGAAGGTACCTCCAGTCCACCCCCCTGCCTGAGGCAGAATCATTGGCACACCCCTAATCCAAGTCCCCAACCTTGGCTGTAGTCCACACCCAATGTCTCTGAGGGAGACTTAAAAACACCCTGACACATGTAGCAGAAAGGAGGAGGTGGGGGTGCTCAGAAGCATGTGAAATATCCACAGTAGAATATAGGCATAGCTACACCTAGATCATTCCCTATCAGTGGCTGTCCAACCTCTGCTTGAACACCTCCAGTACATCTTCTTGTCCACTACTTCCCTAGACAGTTTATTCCACTGCCTCACTGTTCCAACAGTGAAAAAGTTTTCCCAGATATCCAATCTAAACTTACTTTGCTGCAGCTTCAAGCTTTGGTCTGTGCTGTGTCCTTCTCTCTGCAGCGAGAGAGAAAAGGTGCTTTCCCTCTTTATGGCAGCCCTTCAAATCTTTGAAGGCTGCTG